TTTTTTTTTTGTTGGAAAGCGCTGTTGGAGCTGCTTGTCGGTTCCCTTCCTTTTGAGAATAAGATTAAACATGCGCTGCAAGTATTCCTAAGCGATGCCCTTCATCTCGATGGAAGTCGACCGTAATGGCCAGCTTCATAGTGAGCCGGCTGTACTGGCAGGTAAAATCTGATCTTAAGTGGGGATAATGAGGTTTGACACAGGTGTTGATGAGCTAAAAAGATCGGTATAAATCTCTTTAGTTTAGTCAAGCAAAGTGTTCTAAAGAGATATCTTTCTTGGTGCATTACAGTGCTTGGATGACCTCAGCCCTCGCGTGCAATGCATTTTTTCACGGACAATTTTCCTTACTGAATACTTTGAAAAGAGCATCTCATTCTTTAACTGAACACTCTGAAACAGTACATTTTATCAACACTAGAAATATACACAGATCGAATCTAAACGTTTTTCTTATCTGGGACTGTTCCATAAAGATTCCATAAAGTTTGAACGAATAGAAACCTGCAGTTAAAGCCAAAGGCAATTTCCATTTAAAATTTTGATTTTTTACAAAAATAGGTCATTTCCATTTCGTAAGCTCTGTTTTTTAGCGAATACCTTATTTTCTAAACTTTTTTTGCTGATTGCCACAACTGGGGTACTTGGCATAGAATACTATTTGTCGCTTTCCTACTGATTCTATTCATATTGTACTGGAAGTAGTGAGACAGCGAACTATGTTAGGGAACTTTTGAGTTGGCTAAAAGACCTTAGGATCCTTTACTAAGGAGAAATCGGAGTTTCATATTTTGCAAAACACATGGAATTGGGATTGTTCCTCGAGAGGGAGCTAATGGCGGTAAATAGTCCTCTACTTGGGTACTTGTTTGCAACCGTGCCGCCTTCTGTAACATGTCCTGCAATACTAAAAACCTGCCTTTTTATTTCCTATAGGTCAGAAATTCTTTCCGTTTTAGATCTTTCTACAATTACCTCGAAAATTGTCCACATGTCATTCAAGCCTAAGAAACAGTACGGGTTCAGAGTTTTTATTGGATCTTGTATCTTTACTACCGTAACGATAGGTTTGTTCTTATCATTCGAACTCTGTTAAGCTTTTACTCGTTTTTTCTCTGAAATTTCGGAGTTTCAGCGCTTGTTCTTTGGGATGAACGTCGACAACGGGAGAGGAGACAAGAAGGTGTTAAATATAGATTAAAATCGATTCAGCAACAGCAAAATATGCAAGAATATGAAGAACAGAAACAACGATATGAAGAGTATAAAAAGGCTCACTCTTTGTGATTACTGTTAAATGTTTATGTTTCAGTGGTAGTTGTAGTTAGAAGTATCTCAAATGATAGACGAGGTGTTGTAATTTTTCCTTTAATCGTTTAAACTTCTTTTCAGTTTGTTTGTTTATTGTTGTTGTATTTGACTTTATCGAATACGTTTAATAAAACTATAGATCTTCTATGATTATTCAGAGGACTTGATTATCTCATCGCTATCGCTTATTTCTCCTCCTTTTATGTTTTTCTCTCAGCCGATTCAATTCCATTCATTCGCTGAGAATGGTATTATTTGAAAATTTTAGATCATTATGCTGATAACAACGGCTGTGTTTGGTAGTCGTTGTGCCATACGGATAACTGCTGTCAAACCAACGACAGAATTTTTAAGGTAAGTGTCGTGAGTAACTTTACAGAGACATTTAATAATAATAGATATAGGCGGGGGAGCGGGGCAAGGGGCCTTCTTGAAATTCAGTAATGAAAATCTATTGTAGATTAGCTAGCTCGGCCCCATTAAATAATACAAGATGGAAACCCGACACCGTGTATCTCTACCAGTTCCCGCGCTCGCCCGTAGTGCCTAACTTATCTCCTTTCTGCCTCAAGGTGGAGACTTTTTTGCGAGTGAACCACATCAAGTATGAAGTAAGTGAGATTTGTATCCTAACTTTGTTCAGATTTTCTTCTAAATTTTTCAGGTCATAGGGTCTTACCGTCGCTACCGGTCATCACGTGGGTTATTACCATTTGTTGAATTAAATGGGCAGAGAATCGAAGATTCTCAAGTGATCATATGGGAGCTTCAAAAACATTTCAAGCTTGAAGTGAGTGAAATCCTTCAGTTAAGCTGCTAATCGGGAATTTGATCTTCTGTCTCAGGACGGCCTAACTGGTAAAGAACGTGGTACCGCTCGAGCCCTCGAACGAATGGTAGATGTAAGCACTTTTTAGT